TGCATCCTCACAGCCACCCTCTTCATAGTTCCTTGAGTGTGTGGGACTTACTAACCTATTCTAACTGTGTCAAAATGCTTTTTCAGATTTGGGGTAGGGGGATGTGTGTAATTTACCATGTTTGAAAAAGAAATTCCAGTCAAGTGGCAGGTGGAAAACAACTGAGGTGACCTTACACAGAATTGGGTTTGAATCTCTGAGTTTCACCTTTTTGGGTTTTTTAAATGAACATCTGTAGATGCTCCGTCCCCTCCAACCACAGCTCAGGAATTTCCAGTATGCTTGGAACTATTCTTAACAGTCTTTGAGTCTAATGTTTAATTTAAAAATATTTCTCTCTCCTTCTGCTTCATATTTGTCCAGTAAAGTGTTTATGCATTTATTATTTATAGAGGTGCTAGGTCTGAAAGGAACAGCGCAGCATACTGTACTTTTCTTGATTGGTTTTTCTTTTGTGTTTAGTGGAAACCTGGATAAGCAAACGGCATTGGGTAATACAGTTCTACACTACTGCAGTATGTATAATAAGCCTGAGTGTTTGAAATTGCTTTTGAGGGGGAAGCCAACTATTGATGTAGGTAAGTTCACTATTTAAAACTAGGAAATACAGATTTCCTAAAATTTCTTTCCTTTATTTTAACCACTTTTATTTATGTCTTACTGTGTTAAGTAAACTTTTAAGAGGAAAAATATGTTAGAAAGATGAAGACTTTACCACCAACAAGCCTAAAGAAAGCATTCAGTCAAGAAACGGAGCATAAACTCTTAGAAGATAATAGAGACAAAATTTTTCTAACATGAAATACTAATGGTAAACCCTAGTTTTTCTGCAGAGTTGGATTTCTGACGCGTTGTAAATGTCCTGGAGTTTAGGTTTGTTGTTCGAATTGTAACATTAATCTAGTACTTGTATGTTATAATGCTTCAAATGACTGCTCACATAAATTCCACTCTAGATGGACGTGGGCTTTGTGTACACAACAGTTAATTCTTCTTTTAATATTAATGTCGGTTGGCACTGCAGCTTCACCCAGCACGCCCTAGCCACCGCTGCAGCTGGTTAGGAAAGGGATTAGGTGTCGCAGCTGCCTTTCTTGGTATAGGAGGGAAGCTTTGTGAACAATTGGTGCAAACTGAAGAGTATGAACTTTTATTTCTCCCTCTTTCTTCATCGCCATCATTTTTCTCCTCCACCCAGTAAAAAAACTGTCGCATAAATATAAGTTCGTAGCTCCGTGGCAGAAGTCATTGATTTCCTTGGCCTTTCCATACATCCTTAGAATAATATTGTCACAAGTCAAAGAATTCGATGTGACTTTTTTTTAGCAGACGTGTCCCTAATTAAGAAAAGGGGAAAGCTATCTGAGCAAGCTTAAGTGTGTTTATCGATCCCTCCATTGAACTCGGTCCGAGGTAGATGCCAAAAGAGTGTTAGAGTGTTCTTACTTTTTGGGTCTTTTTTTTTTAAGTGCTTTCACATAGGAACTGCATATCTTCTTGAAACTGTGCATGAAAAAACACCTTGAAATATCAGGTGTATACTTAAAGGTTGAAAGTTTGGAATTTATGTGGTCTCTTAAGCTGACTGTATGTTAACTTCAGTTAAATACTGTATTTTCATTCCTTTTCATATTAAAACTCCTGAGCCATCTCTGACCTTTCCATCGGGAGCCCTGCTTCTTCTAAGGGTCTTAATTCTTTCAAATTCATAGGCCTTTCTAGATGACTGCTCGGTATTTTCTAGAATTCATGACTGGCATTCTGTCTGTAATGCAGATATATTTGCTTATGAGACATCAATTCGACTGGTTTAGGTTCCAAATCACAGAAGTGCTTTACAATCTGGATACGATGTAGAGCATGCTCTGTTCCAGCTCTATGGCATTTATAGCTACACTGTAAGAATGAATTTTACCAGAGGTTTGTCCTCGTGAGGTTGGGGTCTGGGGGTTGTTTTTGTTTCTTGAGACTTGCTACTGAGCATCTAGGAAGGATCCCAGTAGGTGTTGTCCCAGAGGACCTTCCAGAGTGCTCTGATACCACCTTCTTCCTGATCAGGCATTATTTTGAAATTTAAACCATTTAATAACCTTTATAAAGACAAAATAGCTAGAAAGTTCTAAAATTATTCTTTTTGAAATGTCATCTTAGAATAGGACTTCTGTCTTCAAATTTAGGCTTGAAACCGCTACATATTAATCAAAATAAAACGTGCTTGGATCAACGTTTGGTTTTTTTATTATTTTATTCTTAGAATAGTTTTTTTAAGCTATCTTACCCTGTCTGCTTGCTTTTCCTGCTAATTCATGTAAGACTTTTACTGGCAAAGGAGTTGAGTGGAGGTTGAAATGACTAAATTTCTTTATATTCTCTGCTAGGATGGTTAGGAGGGATTTGGGAACTGTCCCAGCAGATGCTGCTGTTCAGAAAGAACCTGATGATACATGAAATGCATGAGCCCTTAGAGTGGAATCTTAAAGAGCTGCAGCTGCTATAGAGTAAATAGACGTTTTTGATCACTTTTAGAAGTTACTCTGCTAAAAATAGTGAAAAATAATGAATTGATTCTTTAGACGTCTCAAAGAATTGCTCTCGTTTTTTTAAATTTTGTAGTAAACCAAGCTGGAGAGACAGCTCTGGACACAGCAAAACGAGCGAAAGCTGTCCAGTGTGAGGAACTGGTAAGAACTGGGGGGCGGGGAAGGGGGGGG